GCGCGGTAAACGCCATCTGTAGTACGATGCTACATTTTAGGATTACGTATGCTCCAACAAGGTCCATTTAAATATATGGATATATACTTGCTGAAACGAATCCCGGCGTAGCTAACCTCAACGTGATAGGCTCGTTACCATAATCGAATAAAATAATTCGAAGTGGTCTGTTTTCTGTCGAAACTGCCAGACGCGGATCGCGATTTCGATCTTTTTAGATCTCATCAGCGCATTGCAGGTAGCTCCGACAGAACACAAACCAACTTTTACCTGTTTATCGTACTACAAATGGCGTTTACCGCGCCATTTGTGGTATTTTCCAGTACCAGAACAAATTAGATCCCATAAATCCTAATATCAAGATTTGTTTTGTTACAAGCGAATTTTATAAAACGTCATTCTGATTTTATTGGCGTTAATTTTTTTCGTGTATGACTTGTTTTTAGACCCATTGCTTCTCTACAGTAGACAGCAATTGAAGTGTTCTCGACAATTAGGCCCGTATTAGGGACCATTTTTACCGTTTTCTTGATTTAAATGCCGCCCGCTTAAATCGAACCGTTTTCCGCTTTACGGTCGCCTTTATTTATATTTCCAGACATGCTGTACATATACAACGCACGTAGGCAGTGGTATATTATGGTACATAAAATGCATAATAAAACTGCACATTTTTGTAAACCGCGCTCGTTTCTATTTTGAAACCAAGTGTATCCGTCATGTATGCATTACCATCTACAATTACAGATGTCTGCACACACATGGGGCCCTTTGTAAACTCTACCAAACACATACAAACATATACGTGCACTAATTATTATCCAATTAAATTGAATATTACAACGAACTCCACACAACGTTTTGCTTACGATTAAAAATAATAATAAGATAACAGCACGTGTATGCAAATAATGCAGTAATTGAGACTTAATGCATCTGGAACTCTGCATATGCATATAACTAAGGTACCTGCAATATCTCTAATTAATTAACTTAAATAAAGAGAATCTTAAGAAATTAAAATAAGACGAAATATTTAACCGAAAAAGATTACCTGTCTGCCAAGATTCCAAGTTAAAAATAAGAAGACTAACGGTAGGAGTAATAATTTAATCTAAAGCGAATGAGTCCAAAAAGTATCATCATTAATAAATAACAAAAAAAAACCAACGGTCCACTGCGCGATAAGCATTTGCGCATTAACGTTGTCAAACAAAAAATTGCATGCCAGAACAGCGCTGACAAACATAAATTAAGAAATAAAAAGGTAAAGAATCGGCAAAGAATGGACCCCAAGTCTACGTGTAGAGCAGAGCAACCCAGCATTCATAATACTACTAATCCATGTTGTGCTGGCGTGCAGTATATTTAGTAGCTGGTGTTGGTGTCGCGTATAATTTCGAATTTTACGATAACGTATGATCGTCGGTGTTCCTTATGGTGGTGTTAAGTACATTTAGTAATATGGGGGGATGCGAACTAGCCCCAATATTATAAACAGACCAGAAGCATTCAGTTCTGATTCCATACTCGTTAACTTGCAGCTTTGCTGCTAACTTCGTATCGTCGAATTTCGTTAAGTGTGCGCGCGCAACTTCCGTCTCTTGCTTAATTTTAACTCCCGACGCAAAAGAAATAGATGTATACATAATTTCAATAAAGTCTGATCGGTAACACAACAATAAAAACAAGATTCTCTAATAGATTTGTAAAAGCTAATATTCTGATACCAAGAAATCAAGCGGCCATACTTGAACGTACCTTTACAAAGGAATATGTATATTTTTACCATTAACATGGAATAATTAAATATAAATAATAATAATACACTGATTGTATGTGATTTTGAAACACCTTTTAGATTTTCGTGTAGGCATTTGTGTGCAATTTAATGCGAATAATAAGCTATAACGACAGGAGTTTCTTCTCTTTCTCCTCGGTTCGCCCACACAGTTTGAACCTGTGGGAAGCAGACCTACCTAAGTATGCACTTATAGTATATACCACTATACGTGTGTACAATATAATATCTATATCTATCTTGGAATACATTACAAATATTGCCACGGGTTATAATACATAATTATAATACTGCCGCGTTTTCTTCTATGAGGCCAACGTCCTACTAAATCCTCCCATTTAAATACTTTTACACCTGAACGAAAAAAATACACCACCACGCGCGCCTTAAAGACATACGTATGTATAAGTATCTATTCAAATAAATGAACCAACACAAATAAACGCTATAGCATTGCATCTGTTATAATAGGTATTTTACCGAAGTTCCTTATCGACTAAGGAACTTTCAAATAAAATAAAATTATCAGAATGTACACACCCAAACCATATTAAATTCGGTGTGAGAATAATAAAATATTCTGGAAATAAGGTCTGAAGTAAATGTTCAGAATATCAACTTAAGTGTAGTGAAAATGAGGAATCAATAGCCGACTTATTTCTCGTTTTACGCTAATTCTATTTACGACCATATAAATTTAAATTAAGCATACTTTCAATATTTCTTTTGAATGGCAGCTCTCCAATTATTGTTACGTCATTACGAAATGTTTTCGTTAAAAATCGTAATATTTATTAGAAATCAATAAACATTTAAACAAGAAAATACCACTAATTATTTCATATCCAACAAAAACCAAAAAAATCCAGTTTTACATCCGCAATAAAAAAAGACAAACCACTGATGATGACGCTTGAAAAGAGTCAGCTTCAAAATTCCTTTGAAATGTTTTATAAATTATATCACCCTTCCGTACCGGTGACTTAGGAGCTATTCACCGGTACCCAAACGATGTTTGAAACATTATTGATTAGTGCTTTAAGTCATAAATAGAACATCATCTTACATAGTTGATGAGACTATAAAACTGAACAATTTTCGAACTTAAAATTTCCACAGTATTTAACCTTAATGAACAGGGCTTCTTATGCAAAATTCAAAAATTCCATTCGTCAGCCCGAAAATTGAGAGAGTGTTTATACGACGGATTTACTTGAATACCAAATTTTTACCCAAAAACTAGAATGGGGGTATTTATAGCGCGAGAGTAATTATACGTCGAAATATACGAAATTTAAAAACTTAATTATTATAAATCTTAATTACTTAACATAAAAGAAGCATGAATTTAATCCAATGCAACTTACAACATCAATAAAACATTCTATCTAGCAGAATACCGGCAAATAGATTTTGTCACCGGTATAGGACCTATGAATAGCTTCTTGTCACTGGTACAGTAGCGGTGAATATCTTTTTGTCGCCGGTACAATACCGGTGAATAGCTTTTTGTCGCCGGTACAATACCGGTGAATAGCTTTTTGTCATCGGAACGGTAGCGGTGAATGTCTTCTCGTCACCGGTACCGTACCAGCGATTAAGAAGCTATTCACCGGACTGTACCGGTGACGAGAAGACATTCACCGCTATTGTACCGGTGAATCGACACATCGATATTTTCATCATTAGCTGCCTTTCGAAAAATTACGATTTTTGATCTTATGGAAAGTTAGATAAATTATTTCTGTACTCACGAAGAGTTAAAAGTTTATGTTTGAAGCACTGTTATGTACGAAGGGTAGACGATGGTTCCGGTGAAAAACAACAAAAGTTGTTTCAGATGTGTGTGGATAGAATAGGTCAGAAATGTGGAGATATTAGACGGAGTAGGAAAGCAAAGGGCGCTATTCAAAATAATCACAAAAAGGACATGGTAGGACGCCTGAGTCATGAAGGCTTGGTTAGAGATATAATAGAAACAGAAACAGGAATAAACAGGAGCAGAAGAAGACTCATAATAGATTAGGTACAATTAACAAATTATATAGAGATGACCATGGTGACGATGAAAATGTGAAATAATTTTAACCAGAAAAATAAAAAATTATTTAATTAATTATTACGTAAAGTTTGTCCGGAAATAGGTAATCTGAAGAATTTATTTTATCTAAATATTTTCAGGACATAAAATTCATGCAAATGATTTTATGCATTTCGTGTATCTCTTGCAATACAAAGCACGTTACCTTCCATAAAGTTAATAAAGACATTATGACTTATTATGGCCACAGCTATGCACAAACTTCAGCAAATTCATTGGACACCCGACCATTTTGATTTAATACTAGGTATCGTAATTAAGTCATTATTGTAATTATATATACAAATTAATACATGCACCTGTTTGGCACTAGAAATATATAGTTCCTAGTTATACACCACTATTATCTGTTAGGTGTATAAATGACAACGTAATGGCAATTTAACGACTCTTAATTAGAATTGCATAATAATCAATCCCAGCTAATTACGCATCGGTAATTAAGGTCGCAAATTAATTGGGATTTAAAACGAATTGAAATTCATATGAAAAAAGACTTACATGTACAAATATGTCAGATCGCTTCCTTTTATATCAGTTACTAAGAAGACGTTAAAGACAACAGTTCACTTTACAAGTAACACCCCTGTAACAATATAGAAACATAAGCATGAAATAGCAACAAACAATTTTCTATTTGCCAGCTGACTTATATTAATCGCAGATTATGTATTTAATTTAATTTTCTTTTAAATACAAATAAAAAAGTTTCAAAAAAAGCCTTAATAGATAGTTCACTACTACAATTTTTACGCCAAACATTAGTTTTTTCAAGAGAATCATAAGATACATATAGATATATCTTCAAGATGAACACTTGAAGAAGAAATGTTTGGCAAAACAATGTATTAAGATTTTTTTTAAAAATTAAAAACTTATTTTATTTTTTTTTAAATAATTGATTATGAAGTTTCAATTACGATTAACAATTTTCTTTTAAATACCTACACAATCTTAATTACAAAAAAAGAAATCAAAAGACATATCTACACCCAGAGAGGATAATTACACGTTATTACATTTTCACATTAATTAACGGTGCTTAGCTATGGAAAATAACGTTCAAAGCAATAAATGTGACTCCCAAATCCTAATTATCTATTACAACAATCACATTACATTATAAAATGATAAAAAGAAATGCCCCATCGTTTATGCAACAACAAATCAGTTAAACTCAACTAAGCAGAAACAGTTGCCTATCTCGCCTCCCAGTTATTTACACCTATTAATTTTGAATGATACGAAAGATAATTTTTCTTATCTTTTCATGACATTCCAGAATAGTGAAAACAGATTAATCCTATAATCAGAAATAGTGAGTATCTTTTGTCGTCAACAAAAGAAATTACTGTCATTTAGGCACATATTTAAAAAGCGTTTTTCAATTTAGTTTTTTGTTTCAAACGAGCATTTTCCTGAAAAATTGTTACTTAATTAAGTATTTACAACTTCAAGAACATGATGAGGTAAGTTTCCAATAGTTTTTAAAACTAGTGTGGTTAAAACACTGAGAAATATTCTAAAATATAAACAGCGGAATAAATGTAGGTATCCTACACATAATTGTAAAGGCATAAAATTATAAAGATGAAATATAATTTATATTAAATAGATAGGTACCTATAGCAAAAAATTTGTATATAACATGTTAGATATCTGCCTACCTATCAGAACTAGGATAAAATAAAATATGATGGATAACGTAATAAAATTTTACTGGCAAGATATCTAAATGACTTCAAAAACAATAAAAATGTTTCTTAGCTTTTTTTATAAGTAATTCGACCTACCTCTTTTAATTAGATTAACAATAACAAGTTCGAATCAATTTAGAAGACCTCTCTAAATTGCAATAAAAGCTATCATCTTTTAATTGGAACTGATTGTACACGTAATTAAAATTAACGAGGTAACGTAAATTGAATTATCCAATTTCCGCAAAATACAAAAGGGCAATTAAAGTAGAATTAAGTGTACCTTTTTGGGTCTGGTTAGTGGTATCGCTCCCTTTTGTAAGAGCTGTACAGCCTATAAAGTGTATAGGTATTGAGCAAGTTAAAGTTAAATGTATAGTCACGGTTTTAAAATATAAGCAGTTTTAAATATTTATCGAATATGAATGATTGGGAAATGCCAGGGTTTTATTATGAAAATTTTTACCGACACGAATGGGTTAAGTTAAGCAGTTTGTGGAAGGTACCTCATTATTTACATTTTTTATAACAAACTATTTTTGTGGCGACACTGCCTATTAACAGTTAACCTGCATATCTCGCTTCACTTAAAATTAATTAAATAATAATACATATAAAGCTAAACACCTATATAATTGTCCTTCTTTTCAAGTTGAGAAAAATAGTAAACGAAGAACAATTTATTGTTTACAGTTTGAATGTATTAGAACAGTAATCACAATGGCCGAAAAACGAATTTTTTAGAAAACATGGCTAGTTTCGTGACTAACTGATTCAATTGCATTAAATTTATGAATCGTTGTAACACACTTGCGTCACATATTATAAATATGCATACTAAATTTACTATTATATTACCTTCTTGTAGAAAATCTATCTTTTCTCACAAATGAAGCACTTGCACTTGCTTTGAACTTCTCATCTTAAAAGTTGTTTCTTCTTTTCCTTCTTTTAAACTATTGCACAATTGCAACATAACTTTGGATGTTGCCAAATGTTGCAGTTTTTTTTTATGATAAAGTAAAAATAAAAAGTACATTTTTCACGGCTTTTCTCTAAAATTCTACTTTTAGCATTATATTTAACTCTAATATGTAATTTAACATTAAATTTAGCGTAACGTTTTCAAAAATCGACCAAGTATTTGTAAAATTTACCCAATGAATTCCTCGTGCAACTCAATTATTCTAAATTATTTTGGTGCTGGCTGAAATTACTACATTAATAAGACCTTTTAAAACTAATAAAAATAAAAAAGCAATCGATGTTAATTTGGTTATACAACATGTAACAATTTCCTCTTTTTCAGCCCCCTGAAAACGAACTTCAAAAAGGTGAACGTGTAATGTCCGAACACCAGCTTCGTATTCAACGTTCCCTTCAAAAATTAACCATCCCAGAATGGTACAAACAATCCGAAGTGCCCCAAGAAGGTTTTTTGCTTCGCAAGAACAGCAATAACGCCCGAGAACGATGGACGGGTACCGCGAGCAGAACTCCCTCCCTAACCAGTATAGGTTCCAACGTCCAAAGTCCTGTAATCATCAGTCCCACGCCACAAAACCAACCTTTTGTCCGATGGTCGACATCTAAAATTAATTCGACCGCATCATCTCCATGTGCCTCCACTAGAAGTAGCTTTAATGCGAGACAACCCAATGGATCCATTTCTCCTTGTTCAATACGAAGCAGCTTTAGTTACAGACAACCGTATATGGGCTGGAGGTCGCAGGAACGCTTGTCAAGGCCCAGGACGCCTGCGGAGCGCCTAGCAAGTTCATTATTGTCCCATTCGAATCAACATAACGAAGTTCAACAGCAAGGAAGTCCAGAAATCCAAACTTCCATAAAAGAAGTCACTTCGGCCATTGTTCATTATGTAAGTGGTCTTAGACCTGACGAGGGTACTGAAGGCAGTTCAAAGAGCGTTTCTGCCAGTCCGAGAGGCAGTCAAAAGCTATGCTGGTTAGAGAGTTCGTTTGTGGGAACGCGTCCCCTTGACTCTCCTCAGACACCCGTTACTCTGACGGAAAGTCACGCGTCAACCTCTGGGGCTTCTTCTAGTCTACGGCTTGATTTGCACAGTACACACAATGGTGAGTCTGTCCATGCCTAGCAATGAGCAGCATTTTGTACATTATGTAAGTTTTAATTAGTTTAATGCAGTATTTATTTGCTGCACTGACGGTCAGGAGTCTATTTTTAAAAGCTTTTGCTTAAATTGTGCTACGGATTTATTTTATTAAAAGATTTTAGTTGAATAATGTGTGCTCCCATTCAATAATAGATTTCCAATGTTCTACTACAATACATGATTAAGAAATTTTATAACTTTTATGTGCTGTTATTGCGTGCTAAATTTTTAAGATTCAGTAGCAGTTGTTAGAGATAAGTGAATGCTATAAAATGTTTTTGATATTGCTTGTCAAATTTAATTATTTTATTGTGATAATAGATATTATAATGTACAATAGAATATACTGAAAGTCAGTTAAGTACCAAGAATTTGAAAAACATATCGTACTACAGATATCTAACTGGATGCTACTTAAATTAGGTAGATAATTGTTTTTATTGTTAATTAACTATTTTAATTGAAGACCTCTGACCGTTAAAGTGTACGCTCTCTAACGTGGTGCTATTTGTGTATAAAGAAAGCTCTTGTAACTATAGCTCGTTTGCACAGACTGAAGTTTTTTAAATAAGTACAAAATGGCTTGCATCAAATGTCACCGCATGGTTTACTACATCGTAAATTGTGAAGGTTCTGATATTTTCAAAGCCGAAATGAATTTAAAAAGAGAAAACCGTCGACTGTAAGCAGAACTGTTGTATTTTTACGATAAGTCCTCCGTTAGTGTCCAATTACTTATTGTACTTATGGACTTTTAAGTTATAAATATCAACGATATTATATAGATATTTTGTCTAATTGCTTCTTTATCCAGTTTTAATGTGTTTCTTCTTGATTTGTTATAGTGCTAGTTGCTGCATTTATTTTTTTTTTATATAGGTTGACTGGTAAATGCTATTTTTATTTTATTTTATTTTTTAGATTTAATTACTTGTATGTATGCACCATTCGTACGTCTTGCATGTACTTTCCCTATATCATTTAGACAATAAATTGTTTAATTTTTATTTATTTTGTTTTTATTTATTTACTTTTTATGTGTATATATTGTGCATTTATTTTTCTTTCATACTTTTTCAGTTACATTCGATTATTTCATTCATCCTTCAAGTTCTTTAAGGACTTCCAAAACACAAGTGAATTCGTGTAAAAAAAATTAACTCAAGTTAGTAAAACTTTTATACAAAGGTAATAACCGAAACGCCTATTTTTAAACCAATACTATCAAAAGTAAATTACAAATTTAGAGTGGAATAATATTGTAGTTTGTTATGTGTATAAGCATTTATATGCAATCATAATGGAGAAAGTCATTATTTCGAAAACAAATTGCATCATTTAATATTAAATAACTTTTTGCAGCTATTTTTACCTTCTCTGGCCCGTAAAATTTATATTTAGCAAAACTGGATAAAACCAGTTAGTTATTTCTATGTTGCGCTATGTGGAATTTATCTATTCATCTATTTTTACCTACTACCAAAGCCTACATATTAAGTTTTCTAACTATTCACCACGCTGGGTGTAAAATGATTAAACAAAATTAATTGGATAAATAAACGCAGGCTTTACGTTTATTATTAAATTAGAAAGTTATATTTTGTAATTTCAAAAGTTTATAATTTTTTTAAGCAACCTAAATAGCCAGTAAGTTATCTTGGTGGAAGAAAGGTACTGTTTAATTTTAAAAAACTAAAGTTCTATTTGGTACTTTATTAAAGTTTATAATTTTGACTAGGCAACCCGAACAACAAGTGAGTTATGTTGGTGGAAGAGTTAATTTATTGAAATTTTACCAGTGGCGTAACTTATGGTATCATTTCTAATTGCAACAGACTGTTACAAAATTCAACTTCCTTATTTCAGCTGTTAATCAACTACTACTACTACTACTAATGCTAACACCACTCATTCCTTTTTTTAATTGTTTCTGTGAATGTTACCTGCTAATATACTCTGTTAACTTTATTAATCCTTACTAACGCTTAATTTGTCCCAATACTAGAAGTAACTGCTGTTCACTACTCGTACTCGAGGGAACAAAGACCTTCGCCAAATTCTACGACACTAGAAGACGTTCTCGATTCTTTATTGGGTTTGCCACCGTCTACGCGAGCTCCAAGTCCCAGTCTCGCAGGTAGGAGACGTATGTAAGTTTCCTTACAGGTTCTCAGCAAGACATCATCACGTCTTCATTATATTTCCACGTACTTTTCTTATTGTTAAACCCTATGTTGTTTACCCATTTTAAATAGTGGGACGACTATAATTGTTATTTTCAAAACCTCATTATAAAATTAAATGAGGAAACCATCGCTTCATAACGTCTATCTATTTTTGTAGAAATCCGCACGAAATTTCCACAAATTATAGACGTCTCAGCTTAGAATGCACTTATCAATATCAGGTTTCTTGATGAGTGTCATACTGATACTGCCTCTTTTCAAAAAGAATGACAAAGTACTACGACTTTATTTGTGTAGCTTAAGTAGATACTTTTCCTTGTGCTTAAATGAGATGCCAATCTATATTTCTCAGGGATGAGAAAATAGCTAGTTGCTCCTTCCTTCACATATTTTGTGGCTCGAAATAGCACTGAATTTTGATCCTGAAGTACCTTTAGTTTGGTTACCCTTATTAACTACTGTAGTATGTACAGTATAAGTAAAACATTTTTCACTTTTTTCTTCACTAAATCTGGATGTTTTAATGTTACAGCGCAACATTTTTCATGTATTAAGAGAGATGTTTTTAGAGACGGCGTCAGTTAATACGAGCCCAGGTCGTCTGGGGGAGGAATCTAGGGCGGCAGAACAGTACCGAAGGCACAGCGAAGGAAGCGACACTGTCAGTCAAAAACCGCAACACTCTACTTTCCAACGACGTATTAGTTTCGATTCTACGCCCCTCATTAGGTGTCGATACAACCGATGTGGTAAAACCATTCCAGTCACCAGTTCGGAAGCACGTGATTTTAAAAATTGTCACAACTGCTCGTATACCTACTGTTCTCGCCAATGTAGACGAGCTCACTGGGAGAAACACAGGAAGATATGTCTTTTTTCCCGAATTGGCTCCCTTTGTAGGCAGGTACTTACGTCTGTTAAAGAAAATGCGGACAGTCTTCTTCAAATTTCTCTGGTAGCTCGAAGAGGATATTTGGCAAAAGGGCCAGGAGCCGTAAAATGTTTCTTTCCTTGTCCCGAAAATGCAGAAAAGTTTCTGGTGGAAGGATTACCAGCTCTAGGTGACTTGACTTATGTCGCCAGGGCGGATCTGCTTCCATCCGAAATGGGTTCGCAAATGTATTCGGAAATAATGAAGATGTGCAAAAATTATAATCCAGATTCAAAACTGGTCCTTTACGTATCAGTATGTGTAGTTTCCGAAGCTCCTACAGCTGGTTCGGTTAAATGGGAGCGGCAGTTGGTATCAAGATGTGCTAAAATGCGCCTAAGTAAAAACGTCCCCTTGCCTGGACGGGACGTAGACATTCCAGAAACATACATTTTCACGTGTGTTCCAACTTTTGACGAAAAAATGCGCGAAGAAATTGTCAACAGACTGGCCAACGAACTGGGACTTTTAGGAGTCAATTTACAGCGGAAATATCCTGAAATTCATGGTCAACTTCAGTCATTTGCTTCACGGAACTTTGAACGGTTCACACCGATAACGGTCTATCCTTATGTCGAACAAACCGGGAAATGTTTCATGTGTATTATTATGCTGGATGCGGAACCTGACAGTGTACGCCAAGTGGCCGCAGCCGGAATACAAGCAAGGACTATAAATCTTCGATAAAAAGTCTTTCTTATAACAAAAATTAATGATTAACTACAAATTAACTACAAACAGTTACGTTGCAGGTTTAATAAAGTACCATCACAAATACATATTTACGCATTTATATCAACTTCAAAATAATATCAAAATGAATTATATACATATTTACATTTTATTTAATAATATTTTGAAATTAATTTACAGTGATAAACTCTTAAACAAATGATAAATGTTAAAGGGACCATTTGGTGAATGTTCCATTTTATTCTATCATTAACTTTTATAACTATCACTTTTTTTTTTAATTGTATGACTTTTCCCATATTGAAATATTCCTCCATTTTATGTCTGCATTTAAATATTAACGATAACATATCTAACAAAAATAGACGCATTTTGCATAGCATAAGTTCAATAGGGTTATATTTGATAACTGAAGTTTATATCTTTTTCATTTACTGGTCTAGCTTAAAATTTCAAAAAGTGAATTTAAAAGATACCTACTTATTTAGACCATACTTTTGTTTCTGGTGGTACTTTATGTTTTTGCTGGCGAAGTTTTGACTGTTTGGAGCAAGTCGAAATACTTTCTTCAAATTTAACTAACATGGCTCTTAATAAATTCAGTTAAGTGACAAAATAATCGTCATCACATGGCAATCGTAAAAGCAGGGTTGGCACATTATATGAACTTCCTTCACATTTTTATCTGTATACTATCTTATATTGAATGTGCTATGGACAAATAGCCGCATGCATTTTGTATCGATGAAGTTTGCAAAAAATGAAAAGCCATTACAAGACTGTCTTTGTTTATAATATAAAAAGAAAATTGTTGTTGTATTTATTCAAATGATATGCTGCAAAGTCAACCCTTTCCTGTGATCTATTTAGCTTGTTGTNTGCATAATTAAACAAGATCCTTTTATAGAGTGCATCAAATGTAATTTGTTGATAAAATAAGGACCTATAAATAAATTAATGTAATGAAATATATATTTGCTTGACGTTATTTTCCTTAATAACTTCAAGGTTTTGTTGCAAAACCTTATTTACTTTCGCTGTTTACTGCATTTATTATAGAACAATAACCCAACAACAAAATACAAAACAGCACATAAACGAAGAATTATTTAACTGATTTTATGTTATCTTGTTACTAGCTATTCTAGCGTTTTCAACAGAGTACTTAATACTGATTGAGAACGAAGTACCTAGTGTGTACTTGATTTTCGAAGAAGACGATAGCAACATTTAAAATGTCTAGTCCAGGTAAAATTGGTATTATTGGAAGGTAAGGCTACACTAATATATTTTAGAAATACATAAAAATATAGCATTTCATTGTTTCGTAATATTCTGCAATGGTTTGCAAATATCTCGGCTATCAGAAACATATTTGAAATAGTTTGATTGATTCAAAATTAAAATTATTTGTTTTAGTGGTCTGATTGGAAGATCGTGGTCTATGCTTTTTGCTGGAGCTGGATTTCAGGTGACTATTTTTGATATCGAACCTAAACAGATTCAAGGCGCCTTGGCTGACATTGAAACTCAATTAAATTCGTTACAAAAGGAGGGACTGCTAAGGGGCACCCTAAGTGCCGCACAACAATTTTCATTAATAAAAGGTATCTATCGGAAAAAGGTAAAAAAATTAAATTCACGATCAGAAATTTACCGCTTTATTGTTTTAAAAGTTGCTTATGTATTTTATTACGCATTTTTACTTCAAAATCAAATCAATATAAAACACGTATGTACCTATATACATAAATACATAAACTTCATAATAAAATAACTAAAAAGGACTGCAGGCACGTGTTTCGCTCATTTACATTATGAGCAAGTCTTTCCACGCCAGTCTCCTTTTCTGTATATTCATATTTAAATGTATAAACCATTTCTAGGTTTAGGCCCAGTATGATCATATCTTTTAGAAAATTTGAACGCTTCCTAATTTCTGCCCACTATAATAGATTTAATAATTTTTATCTATGAATAGTTTGTCTATGTCATTTCAATCGATCGCTTTTGTCTATGGATCGGTTGATTGTTGGTTGATTGTAACCTCGCAAACCGACATGATTATTATATGTGTTGTTTTTAGTGGAAAGTATACAATGCATTTATTTTAAATTAACATCATGCATAATCACGACGTGGATATCGATGACGAACAGTTTAGAACAACACCTTTACAACAAGCAGCAGCTTCTTGTACTGGAGCTCTATTAACCTCTCTTTTCGGTTTGTCATAATCATTCCCTTTTATCTATAATTATCAATTAACTAATACATTTTTTTTGTAACAGTTACACCACTAGACGTGGTTAAAATTCGTCTTCAAGCTCAGCAGACAAATTCATCAAAATGCTTTTTATATTGCAATGGATTGATGGACCACATTTGTGGTTGTCAATTGTCTAATGGCGAAAAAGAGTGGTTTACCCGACCAGGACATTTTAACGGGACTATTGTTTGTTACTTTAAAAATAAAATAGTATTCCTTTTAAATAATATTCTACTTTTAGGATGCTTTTGTAAAAATTGCTAGAAACGAAGGTGTTGCATCTTTATGGTCAGGTTTAAGTCCCACATTGGTTTTAGCAGTACCTGCTACTGTAGTATATTTTGTGACATATGAACAACTTAGATTATTCCTTAAAGATTATTACAACGAAAAAAGAACACCAGGGGATCCATATAAACAGCCTATATGGATCCCTTTAATATCAGGTGCAAGCGCTAGAGTTTTAGCTGCCACAACAGTAAGTCCTTTAGAATTAATAAGGACAAAAATGCAGTCCAGAAAACTGAGCTACTTTGGTAAAGAATACAAGTGAAACGCGAAATATTTTAAAGCCTTTTAAAACTTTTATTTCCAGAATTGGGTGAAACATTAAGATTGTTGATTAAGCAAGACGGTATTACAGGCTTGTGGAGAGGAATACTTCCAACTCTATTAAGGGACGTGCCATTTTCGGCTTTATATTGGACACAATATGAAACATTGAAGAAGTTCTATGGACCTGGTGTACCTTCTTTCAGTTTTAGCTTTATGGCTGGAGCATTAGCTGGGGCGGTACTTACTTTTGATTTATTTATATATTATATAGTACTGTTCCACAGTATGACTATTTGCTTTTCAGTTAAAATTGTAGAAAAACTGCAAAATCTAGTACTATATGACTATTAAAACATTTACTTAAAAGAGCGAATTGTGTCACAAATCTTAAATTAAAAATCACCATAAAACAATTACAAAAAAGTGGGAGGGTCTAAATATCTATATTTCGATGTACTGTTGGTTGCGTACACTCTAATCACGAGATAAATATACATACATCATCAGTGCATCTGCAGCAGTTGCAAAATAATTGACTAATTTCTTTTGTTGAAGGTCGCCTCCGTTATTACCTTACCATTTGATGTTGTAAAAACACATCAACAGATTGCAATAGGAGGTCAGTTGTATGGGGGTAAGCGCAAAACTTAGAATTAGTTTTTTCACTTCCTTTCAATTGAAATTCTTTATAAATTGTTTATGTTTCACATTTTAGGAGAAGCAAAAAAGGAAACAACAATAGAAATAATAAGAAAAATTTACTCACAGCATGGTGTTAAGGGTCTCTTTGTAGGTATAACACCAAGAGTAGTTAAAGTTGCTCCAGCATGTGCAATTATGATAGCAACATTCGAACATGCAAAAGTGCTGTTGAGCAGGTGGGGTCGCCCTGAACATCTAGAAAATAATAGTTCTGATTTTAGTAAAAATGATGAAATAATTAGTAAGAGTAGTGAAATAGTTAGGTCTAAAAATTTTAGAAATAAAAATGAATATAATGTTAGCTCTAAACGTGAAATGTTATGAGTTATGATGCTATTGAAAGCCCTAATGAAAGTGATCAATTGTCATAATAAAAAATTTTTATTTGCGAGATTTATACCTACTATGGAATATTTTTCTAACATTAGGGCTTTGTACTTCATTAAGTAGTTGTAATTTTTATAATGCGTACTAACATTTTTTAGCATTAAGAGAGAGCAAACAAGAAAAGGAGATGTGGCTTTAACTTCTTATTAATTGTTTTTTATCATTAATTTTTCAAGTCCTCACCATTGATATTTCATATTTTATTTTTATGTTATCTGGTTAAATTTTAGAAAAATCCAGGTACAAGAAAAACTTTTGCAGAAAATTCCTAAAATACCTCCTTCTTCAACTTACGAAGCTAAGAAAGAGAATGCTGTTAAAAGAAATTTGTAGCTGCTTTACATTCTTTAATTGTGATAAAATAGTGTGTGTAAGTCACCATTGTACCTATTTACCATTTGTTGAAAATACAGATTTTTGTATATTTTTTTAATTTAGTATTCCTATTTGACCTAATATCTGTTTGTAGAAACAGTTACCTAATTTTTAATTCTAATCGTTAAACTGGCCAACATTTACAAATAAAAAAGTTTGTTATTCTTATGTAATTGTGCATATGTCTTACATCAATGCAACTGTTTTGCCTAACCTCAAATATGCAGTTAGTTATTCAATGTGTTTCACTTCTGTTGTTCTTTCGAAACGAATAAATATGAACTAAAACCCTTTATAAAACGATTATGGATAAAATTCTTCGTATTTCACTTCAAATTTTTAATAATAAATCGTACAAGTGCATCCAGAATATTCAGTATAGACAAATCATGACTACCCCAAAATTCATGAAAGATGCAGTGGAGGAATTAGAGAGAAATCCTTATTATGAAAAATATGCACAGAAAATTGCAAAACTACAACAAACTTCTCCTGAGGAGTTTTTGTCTCGTATTGAAGCACGAGAAAATGAAAAGCAAAAACCGAAATTTGGTGGCATTGAGGAGAGGTATGGTAATGAAGTTATTCTTCATTATTGATAGATTTTTGTATTTACATAAACAATAATATATTTAATATTAACTTAACTTACACTAGTTTTAATAAGTTTGATCTTAATTTTCACTTTACATAGAATTGCACTTACACCATTAAGATTTCATCAACAATATAAAAACCAGAGACCACTGTGTTTTCAAATTTTATACTTTTTACCCTATTTATGCAACACACTTTGCAATTTAACTTTTTTTAACAGCCCATGATTTTAGGCAATATTCTTCCTTATTAGAACCGAAAAAGAGTTTGCCATCTACCTTATTATCTGACTCTAATGAAGAATCATTAAATAAAATAATGAAATTAGATTTGGTAAAAAATAAGAGTACAGAAGAAATTAAAAAAATTTGGGAGCAGTATCACATTCAAAAAGATGTTATTGCTGCCACAATTCCCGCTTATGATTATGATATTATAATTGAAGAAAGTAAAAAGTATCCAACTTTCCTTTTTCCAGTACCTCGCAGTCAAGGATATGAGTTTATTATGTGCCAATTTGATAAAAACCATGTCCATTTCACTCCTTTGTTATATTACCAGGTACTAATTTTATTATAGGATTTTATTGCTAGCACATGATGGGGTAGATACAATTATACTGCAGGGGATTTGGAGATTTTTCATAAAAGGAATGAAGCTAGATTAAAAATAATGATAAAAGACATTCTTGTATATGATTATTCAAATATATAATTACAAATATGCTGTCAGAAATTTTCAGTAGCATATTTGTATAATCAAGTATAAGGATGTGTATTTGTTTTCCTGTGAAAAACCTGCGAATTATATGACATAATATCTTGGGTGCCATATAATGCTTATTATTTATATACACAGTGGCGAAAATATAATCTTATTATTTATTTTGGAGGTACACAAAGAGAATGCCCCGGAATGTTTAACTATAACTCATTTTGATGAGTTTAAAGACAACAAGGGTATAGTGTTGATGCGTGGGGAATTCGATAAAAATGTTTTAAATGCTAAAGAAGCCCAGTGTCTAGCTAACCAGCTACAATTGTTTTATACAAGAAAAGATTCGAGCAGAATGGAACTTCTTGAAAGGTTTACCAAAAGGCCGGACGAATTCAAGCATATTGACCTTATAAAAACTATTGAAACTTTGTCTCTTTAGCAACCATGATTTAATTATTGTATACTATATTTCATTTATAAAGTAGCACATTTGTACTTGTAAATATGTTGTTAATAAACAAAATGAAATCATGCAATTTGAAAATTATCGTTCTTGTAGAGCATTTTAATATCGTCATCAGTCTTGCTCTGATTTTCTTTTTTTATATTAGTTTCAAACACTCTTTCTCGTATTTCTGATCCATTGGGAATTGCAAACCAAACACATCTTCTCGGTTTATTGAGGCACTTCCGTTTATATAGAAAATAGCATAAAATTCCGAGAGATAGCATTAGACCTACAATCATTAATTTAAAAGTCACTGTTTGAAGCATTTTTACAAAAGTTTCTATAAAATATAGTACTCTACATTTTTATTTTTTTTTTGCAAACTTACAAGCGACACTTGTTATAGTTGAACTAAGAAGTCCGTTTCTTTTAATACGACACACTTTATATGGTGGCTGATACCTTTCTGATGATTTTTCAGTCAGAATAACTTCTAGAGAATTATCACTCACAATCAATGTGGGAGCCCCTTTAATAGTAAAACTTCGTTTTTTTCTTAATGGCTCATTTTTCTCATTATCATCACTGACCTGTTTGTCAACGTCTTTATTATGAAGTAGCTCAACAATATTTTTATTAGTTGAACTTGCAACTAATGTAGAAAGTTGTTTTGAAAAATAACGTCGTTTATGCTTATGTTTCTTGTTATCGTGGTTATTTGTTAAACGATGATATTTAGGCTCCAAGTAAACCGCAGTATCCAAAAAGAATCTATCGCCATTGCGAATAAGTGTATCGACTATGAAGTCCGTATCAGATTCTTGATATCTTTCTGGTGCGGTCAGAAGAGACCCGAATAAAAGACTGTTTAAAAAATAGTCTATGAGGTTGGTCTGAATGGCTCTGATAAGATCAGGATTATATTTTTCATTCGTACTAAATCGTTTATTATTCTTCAAATTGATTGATTTCTTATTGGCAAAATCCTCAGACTTAAACGAGGATAGTAAAAATAATGGCATTGAAAATTTAGGAAAAGAGAAGTCTGTTTTATGGTTGTCTCTGTCATTTTGTTTATACAAAAATAATCTACTAAGACCTTTCTTGACCCTTTTATACACACGGTGTCTTCGAGGTTCATTCATGTTAATTTTTTCAGGTTTAATGTCATTTAAAGAGTTTATCTTATTTTGATTGTGTAGGTCGTTGACTAATTTTTTTTCGTTATCTTTTTCATACGACAAAATGTCTCTCTTTTTCGGGAAATAGCTGATTTGACTTGTTTTGGATTCTTCAGTAAAATTAACAGGAAACTGTGCTTGTGTTGATGTCGATGGTGGGGTTTTTAAATTCCCATTTGGTTTTTGACGTTGAGTTCCGGTTTTAAGATCACTAGTGAAGTTTGCTTTTATTTTATTCTGATTCCCCGTTTGATTTATGCCATTTATTTTCTCTAGGATTTTCTCAGGCAGAACCGCTTCGCTATTATCTTTAACATGTCTGATTGTAATTGATAAATTAGTTGATTTTTCTGTCGAATCATTAAATTCCAATGAACTTTTTTCAATATTTGATTTTTGAATGGCAGTTGTATGAACTTTATTGGAAGTATCTTTTGAAATATTTCTGTTATCGATTAAACTGTATAAACTCGGAAATATTTTGATAATTTCATCTTCTAAAAGACCACTAGTATTATATTTTTCAGGTACCACAGTAACTATTAACTGTACACTTTGGTTTGGTTTTAAAACGTTATTTGGAATAACCATTTTAAAATATGTTAAAATTTTTTCTAGAAAAAGTCTTTCAACTGAAGTGGTCTTTCGAATTTGCTTCATCGTCGCGTTTTCTATAGGATTAATAATTAGTTTAATTTTCTTAACGAATTTGCAATCATTGTGTGATTTAATGAATAAATTGTCTATTTCACAGTCATTGATTCCTAACTCGTTGTGACTTGTGTGTTCATCTGTAGTATTTGTTCGCTGAGAATTAGCGACTTTTGATCGAACAATATGATCTCCACAATTCTCTTTTTGCGTTTCTTTTACAGACTCGTTTTCTTTGAACAAATTTTCTTTTGAAATAGTTAGATTGTTAGTATTTTCACTTTTAAATATTGTCTGGTCAAAATTTGATATCCCTTTCTTCGTTACTTTATTATCATTATAGATTTCCGATGTAAATTTAATTGCAGTATTTGAAACATCTGATGTACTCTTCGCAAAAACTAGAAAACAGCAACCGAATTCAATAGGAAACAGGTAAATTTTTATATTATTGTACTTCTACTTGTTTAAAAAAAAACGAAAAATAATCGTGGACGTCTTACCTAATAAGTAAAAAATAAAGATAAACGCAAAATATTTGCACATTTTATACCATTTTTTATACCGCTTTCATTAATGATCTTTTGTAAATGACATATCATACTGATTTAAAATCTCAGCACTCTATAAAATAATTTTTAATGAGCAAGTTACTAATTAAACCAGGAATGCAATTTATACATATGGTTGGATAAAAATTAAAAGAAAGCAACTGAAAAAACGAGAAATATGAACCTATACGTTTTTATAGTCGTCTATTTTTAAAAGTAAACTTGTCTAATTTTAAAGAAGGTAAAGCTAAAGTATCTCCGAAATGGTTACTTATATAATGATAAAACGACAAATTTGTGAGCGAATTAATTTATTACTTCTCCTCTAATGTAAAAAAATAAGTAAAATGGAGTAAAAAATATAATAAATAAGGAGTGAAAGTAAATATTCAAAGATTTATGTAAAGAAAAAACGTATTTTAGTACTATTTATATGCATAATTAAACAAGATCCTTTTATAGAGTGCATCAAATGTAATTTGTTGATAAAATAAGGACCTATAAATAAATTAATGTAATGAAATATATATTTGCTTGACGTTATTTTCCTTAATAACTTCAAGGTTTTGTTGCAAAACCTTATTTACTTTCGCTGTTTACTGCATTTATTATAGAACAATAACCCAACAACAAAATACAAAACAGCACATAAACGAAGAATTATTTAACTGATTTTATGTTATCTTGTTACTAGCTATTCTAGCGTTTTCAACAGAGTACTTAATACTGATTGAGAACGAAGTACCTAGTGTGTACTTGATTTTCGAAGAAGACGATAGCAACATTTAAAATGTCTAGTCCAGGTAAAATTGGTATTATTGGAAAGTAAGGCTACACTAATATATTTTAGAAATACATAAAAATATAGCATTTCATTGTTTCGTAATATTCTGCAATGGTTTGCAAATATCTCGGCTATCAGAAACATATTTGAAATAGTTTGATTGATTCAAAATTAAAATTATTTGTTTTAGTGGTCTGATTGGAAGATCGTGGTCTATGCTTTTTGCTGGAGCTGGATTTCAGGTGACTATTTTTGATATCGAACCTAAACAGATTCAAGGCGCCTTGGCTGACATTGAAACTCAATTAAATTCGTTACAAAAGGAGGGACTGCTAAGGGGCACCCTAAGTGCCGCACAACAATTTTCATTAATAAAAGGTATCTATCGGAAAAAGGTAAAAAAATTAAATTCACGATCAGAAATTTACCGCTTTATTGTTTTAAAAGTTGCTTATGTATTTTATTACGCATTTTTACTTCAAAATCAAATCAATATAAAACACGTATGTACCTATATACATAAATACATAAACTTCTTTCACCCGCTAGATAACAGCATGTAATTTCTTATCTTATAATGAACAGTTTTTTATGTAGACCGTAATTAATTCTTCACGTGACGTAAATGGTGATAAAATTGGCACATATGCATTCAAATCCTATCTGTAATTGTATGAATTTCAAAATTTCAAAATTGATTTTAAAAAAGTGTAATTATTCAATTTAAAATCGTACTATTTTAGAGTCATATAAAGTTGAATGAGTAAATCAAGTCAGATAGAATTTCTGCTACAAAAAATATAGAAACTCTAATAAAAGTAACAACTCAGGAACGAAAATGGAATCTTTTATAATAATTTCTGAAAACAATTTGTATTAATAAACGCGATAAGAGTAAAGTATTTTTTTCTTATCACGTATGTTTACAAGAAGCAAAGGTTGGCTGTAACGTCTAAAGTTTAAAACGAAATCTAAATGATATAATTTAATAATAATTCTGAATTACTTTAGAGAATTGCTTTTATTTTACAAAACTCCATTTAATTTCATTTATAATACATAAAAAGCGTGTTAGTATTTAAAAATTAAATGATAAAATTCGCTCTTTCAAGGTTCTACTGAATTAGCAGAAACTGTTAAAAATGCAGTTCTAGTACAAGAATGTGTACCAGAAAATTTAGAATTGAAAAGGAAAGTTTGGAAAGAGATCGACGAAAATGTGGGGCCAAATACAATTTTATCTAGCTCTACATCGACCTTTGTTCCTTCCCTGTTTTCAGAAAATCTTAAAAACAGGTATCACACTGTTTAGCGTAGTTTAAAAGATTCAAGTAAAGCGAAACCCATATTTTAGGAAGAATTTTATTGTCTCGCATCCTGTGAATCCCCCTTACTATGTACCACTCGTTGAAATTGTACCCGCACCATGGACAGACCCATCGGTTACAAAGAAAACACGCGAAATTATGATGCTGATAGGACAATCCCCTATTGTTCTGAATAAAGAAATAAATGGTTTTGTTTTAAACCGCTTACAGTACGTTCAATATTTTGTTTTTTTGTTCTTTTTACTGTCCTCTTTAGTAAGAAGAAATTTAATATTCGTTTTTCTACTTAGGTACGCTCTTTTAAATGAAGTTTTAAATTTGGTAAATGACGATATCGTAAACGTAGAAGATATAGACAAGGTAATGGCAGACGGTTTAGGATGGCGTTATGCCTTTTTGGGTCCCTTAGAAACGACTCATTTGAACGCTGAAGGTTTTATCAATTATACCGAACGTTACGGTGAAAAAATTTACAACCTTTGTAAGGATGAAATGAAACCAGCAATTGAATGGAAAGGACCACTTATTAAGAAAATTGCTCAGCAGTTGGAAGCTGATGTACCACTTGAAGAATTACAAAAAAGACGTAATTGGAGAGATCTATGTCTGACCAAATTATCCCTTCTCAAGAAGGAACTTTTGAAATTGAAGTGATTATGGTTTATATACATATATATAT